CAGGATTATCGGGATAGATTCTTCAAGCTCCTTCAGGATGGTAAGAGGTAAATATTTTAGTTTTGAAAAAGGTAATCGGCACTGGTGCCACAAAATTGCAGGAGTTTTCCGCAGATGTACATGGGCTATTTAAAACACTTGATGTGAGTGCAACAGAGTCAAGCAAAGCAACCTATTTGTTGCACGCGCCGTGTTGATGTCCTACGTCCATCGTGTGAGTGGGTACCCAGCTGATAATATCCGCGATAAAGGAGATAGAACGAGGCTAACGTTCAGATAAGCGATCCCTTGAAAACAGTTTTCATGCTGATCTCGGCCACCCGCGGTGGAATCGACATGGTAGATTTAGAAGGACCGAAAAGGATTAAACTAGTTCTTCGTACTGCAAAGTCACGGAACATCACTCAAACAGGAGGTGAGAACAAATTGAAGATTTGTGGCTAAAAATCTGCACACTGGGTTCCATTGATCAGATGAAGCTTGGAAAGTTTGCTAACTGTAATTTTTCAGGTTTCGTAAAGATAACCCTTTGGCTAGTCCTAAGGAGTGCATAACATTTTCTATAGACTTGATTGCGATCCCGGCAGCCCGGAAACATAAGCTAGCAGTTAATGAGCAGCCTGAAAATTCAACGTGGCCGAAAGGGACTGAGCAGGGTCAACACACCACCCATTCTTGAACAAGTTAGAAATGAAACTGGAATGAAAACTCCCAAATGAGGTCCCCTACAGACTAAATAGAGGCACGCATCAATCAACCGACGGCCGGTTTTTGATTACTGACCAGCATCTCAAGAATCACGTAAAAATCTGGAGCCTTCAAAACCTGTTTTTTGTTGCAGTGAGGGCCAAGTAGTTGTGTGGCTCCCAGGCCTTGGGCGTAATATCGGAAATAAAACACCCTCTTGGCTGAGCAGGTTGGTGTTTGACATGCTCATTAATTTCCTGATTGGGCCGACACTGGATGCCGAAGTCACCTCAGACGGAATATCTTTGGCCTTGCAGGTATACAATTGAAGGTATATATTTACGCATCCACGTTTCGTAAAAAGTTTTCCGCTGTGCAAGATTGATTCCCTTTGAAGTATTTCACACACCCATTACGTGTTTGCACCTAAACTCGACCATCTGTATAGCATACGTGCAGAATTTTTGCTTTTTTGAACTTTTGCGCTTAGGTTATTTTCTTCACCCAGAATATTACTCAAACTCTTATTTTATTTCTCTTCGGTGAAAAGTAGCAGTATGTTGTACCTCTTGGCACCTGTAGAGAATGCAGAGGAGACTTGTTTTGACTAAACATGCAAGGCACTATTTTTCCGTTTAGCATCGTCGCTTATGTAAGACTGAGTTATCCACGTTATACAAAGTTATGCATAGAGCGTCTACCTCCCCTGGTCTCGGAGAGACACTTTTAGCCTTTTTCCAACTCGCCATACCAAATATTTTATGTGCAACGCGCACTGGCTAACCACAAAGCCCAACCGTCCTCGAAGTTTGCCATCTTTGTTGGCAAACGCGTGGATATATTTAGCGGATATTCTGCGAGTAATGCTTTCAAGGTTTTCCCGGGTAATCTACCCACTGAAACTTGCGTAGTCGTTCTTTTGGCCTACGTTCACCATCGGTTTTGCCGAGCCTGGCAGAAGATCTTTCAACATTTGAGCCCGATATCTATCACAGTGATGCGCAAGGGTTATCGTCATACTGGCCTATATGCTATGTTATGCTCTTGCTTTCTGATGTCCTAATCCCACCTTCACAAGCAGTTTTGATGGTGTCGCGAAATATCGAACCCCGCACCTCGGACATTTTTGGACCTAAACCTATTGTCGTCCGGGATGGTGGTCATTTTTGATGGACTGAGAGATTCTTTCTGTTCTTTCTCCAAGGCGAGCGCACCACTACAGATGACCCCATTTCCGTTGCATCCCGAAACCTTCGGAACACAAGTCCACATTCCATTTGGGGCAGATTCCTAGGAAGAACACCGAGCAAGTTACGACCTTGTTTCGTATGTAGACGTTCATAAAAGCGCTGGTGGAATGTGAACCTGCGACAACCAAGTAGTTGGCTGTGGCCCATACTCCTCCGGATAATTTTCCATTGTATTATTTCCAAATCAACCAAGGAGTGACACAATACGATCTAACTCTGACTTTGCATCCAGTAAGACATGCTTTGGCACACACATGGCGCGTGTTCCTTGGCAGTGCTCTCCATGAACAGAATTTAATTTCAGAAATTGTCGGCTAAAGGGCTACCACAAAAATAATTATTCACTTTAAATGAAGGTTATTCACGCGTTCCACCCTCGGAGACAATACGGTTTACCCCAAACATAAACTTTGGATACAGAGCCAGTGTCTTCTTTAGTCATTCAACTAACCAAATACCAGCAATGGATATCGGCCTACAGCTGTGACAACTAGCTCATTGGCCGCCCAATGGTCTTAGCTGCAAAACCTTCACGAGTTAAGTAAAACTTTTCGCAATAGAATGTTGAATTTTGTTGCGTATGTGCTCAAATCAAAAACCATCCTAATCTGCATTTCTATTCCCGCAGCTCACCAAATTTCATTTTCCACTGAAGCAAAGCTGGTGCAAAAATTTCCCCGCATCGCTGAGACCCCAGAATACCTAAAGGAGCTCAAAAGTTTGTATTGGCACTCCGAACTCAATTGCCCGATTGCTTTAGTTTATCGGGAACACGTCAGAGCTTTCGACAGTCCAATTCCATTGTGCTAATGCTGACCGTCTTATGAAAAGTAGCGCCGCCCTCTACGCTTTTAGCGCGGGACAGCAATTTTTCAGCGCCAAATAGTGCCTTGAACTGGGTACTAGATGGGGCGTGGACAATTGTCGGAGGAAGCCTGGTTCACGCAGTACTACCCGGAATGAGAAAAAGTTTACTTAATAAAAGTGTGTCCCCCTGGGCTTAAAAATCTCACCACGTCCCCTCTTTGTGTTGGTTTGGTTAACGGTGAAAAGCCTGTCGGCTAGACTTCGTTCGGACAGGGAACAAGTAAGTATTAGATCTCGGAAATGACCGTACTCCAGGGGAAATAGGTTAGCCACCACGATGAGCGTTTTTATTCAAGACCGGCAACCATTTTCGTGGCAGTTCGTTAGACACGCTCAATGGGGGTTAGTCCTTTGTGCGCCTGAGTAGACAACTTGGTCAATATATTCAAAAAGCTGTCTACCGTAGGCTTCATATAGTAATCGGAACTCCATGAGAGTAATACGGGAGAAGGTGCGCCGAATAATACGTAGAAGGGCCAATGCATTTTGAGCAGACTTCCCACGGTGCAGTGAGAAGGACAAGTTTGAAGAGGGTCAAATACCCCATTTTTGCCTCCATCCCTGTGATGTCTTTCGGCCCATTCTTCACCATGCATGACAAGTGCTCACCGATTTCCATCCGAATGGCATACGGGCACACTTTTCGTCATTCAGAGGAGGATGGCAGCCCAACAGCAACTGGTTAGAAGTATCTGCATCCGTTGGGATGGTACTGGCATTTGAACTCCAGGATTTCAAGTAGTTCGCAAGGTAGACACAACCAAAGCTTCCGTAAAACCACAGAGATGTGTCACCCATGAAACCAGCCAAACCATTTTTGATGAAATGGGTAGGACAACGGATAGCTCCATGATGCAGTACAGAAATGCCGCGCACTAAATCCAATTTCAGCCACGTTCATCTACCTGAGGATCAAAATTTGAGGTTGAGCTCCCCCGTTATTAAACAGGCCAAGTCGACAAAAGAAAAGAAGCATAAACCTCTTTACGTATGATGTTGTGAGGCCAGGGGGCATAGCTGGTTCAGCTTAAAAGATCGCATAAACTTCTGCCACACAGTCGATGGAAAACAACCTTTTCAGTGTGGTAGGCTGGCTTTAAAAATGTAGAGACTAATCAAATGACATGGGCGAGTAAATCTTCGAGGTTAGCCAGAGTGACGGGCGTGGGCCAGAAATCGGCCCTACAGCTCAGCAACAGAAGTTTTAGTACCAAATGGCAGGGGGCGAATACTGTTGACGGGATACTGTTGTACCTTAATTGTTGAGGAGGAAGGGGAAGCGCTCGACTTGGTTGAAGTTGAAGCGCTATCTGCAAGCGCGAAACTCGCTCACAGGTGTGATGAAAATACTATGTAGAGTAGAGACTCATATGTAAAATTGTATTTATTCGTTCCACTCAGCATTGCAAAGTCGCAAGAAGGTTGGAAGTTTGTAGTTTTAACTAAGTGAAAGGAGCTCGTTCTTTTTTTTATGCAGAGAGGATTCGAACGCGATTTCAAAGCACGGCATACGATTTTCAAAGCAGAGGATTGATGGGGCTGGTTAAACGCCGTGCGTTAACCTTTTGGTCGAAAAATTAAATAAAGCTTATTGAGAAAATCCGTAAAATCCATCTGATGAAAAATACGGGCCACGGACCTATCAAAAAGTGTCACAAATATTTCCGTGACAACGACTCTTCAGCAGGGTACATCAGGTCTGCAGGCGCGGCCGCCGGGTGTCTGCGCAGTAGTGCCGCAGAAATTTTCTCCAGTTACCATACGTCCCCTGAGCCCACTCCTCCTTCCATCAACGGACCATCCGGAAAAAAAACATTCGATTTTGATTTTGACATCCAACTTGGAGTCATGGACACCCAATATAATGTAACGTGAGACAAATTCAGTTCAGGTATTCTTCTCGATTTTACGGCAGACTGAGAACAGTGGGTCAAAAATATAATACTTATACAGATTTTCTAGCTGGCGCATTTCTGTCACATGTCTGAAGCCATTTAAACGAAGTTCCAGTTGACTGATTGTCATAGGCTGCTCTAAGGGCGGCCAACTTGCTGTACTGGCACCTTGACGTCATAGTCAGGCTTGTATTTTGCCATGACCCTTCGCACCACAGACGTCAGAAATTCTTTCCGTAAGCCTCAAACCTACTCAGAAGGTTAACGGATAGCATGTAGACAAACGGCACCAAATACTCACCGTCTTCACCGCGGCGTCCGATGCGCAGTTGCCAAAAGAAGCTTATTACACATGGTTCCATAATACTGAAGTTGACCACAAATTTCTGCATGCTGGATCTGGGGTTGCAAATTTGTGAAAAGAAAGGAGAACTCACACACGTAGGTCCCTCATATCAGCAATAGTAATAACTTGAAGGTAAAGCAGCCAGTCACCGGCAACGAACAAGGTTAGGATGACGATAGGGTAACACAGGGTAACATATTCATTTTCTCCCTGTAATTTATCGATATCCCGTGCCCCGTTACTCATCACGCTGCAATTCATCATTGTGCAACCGACAACTTGCGGTAGTATACTTCTCATTGGAAAGCGTCTCTCAGTAGAAAGGCCGCTAACCAATTGCAGCCCATCAGCAAGTGTTGTTTGGACAGTTCTACCGCAGAGAAATGAAGAAACGAACCCTCGAAAAAGGGCTTTCACTGTCCCAAACAAGGGCAAGACCTAAAAAGGCACTGACCAATAGGAAAGAAGCGTAGCTTTTCCGGAAACATGCCAACATTGCGGAAAGGCACAGAATCTGAAAGTTCGATTTTCCGGAAATGAAATCGTCAGTCACTCTGGAATCGAATGTTCTTTGGGATGGTGATTTTCCCAACACAATGTATTGCGATCTCGAAAAGGTAATAATAACAGTTGCGTGAAGTTGTCCTTGACAATTGTAAACGGTATAGCGTAGATGTCGGACACAACAGTATCCCGGAAAGGTTGCGGATCAAACTTCTCGTTTTCCTTGCACTATTCGATTAGCATGTATTTCGCTTTCGAACCTTAGGTGAATGATGACTTTGAAATTTCGTTGAAACATGGCATCATCGGACGGAATTCGCCGTTGTAGAGATTAATGCCTAGTGCCGCTAACGATCCGATTTGTGCAAATATACATAGTCGTCATGTTTGAATTTGATAGCTTGTGTTTGTAGTTAGATGTTGAGAGCTGGTACCAGTTAATAAAAAGCTGTGGGCTACTCAATGCCAATCTGAGTCTCGCCTAATCCATAGTGGTCTGTATTGCCAACTGGATAGGATACGGCAAAATAGATCTCCCGTACCATGCAAAACTATCCTGTTTTGTTTTATTCTTCAGCTGCTAATAAGCTTGCGGACAACTCTCCAAAAATTACCCGGAGAAAAGAGAGTCGAGTTTTTTCCGTGGCACATCAAACTACCGTTTAATGGGAATTCATATAGCAAAGCATTTTTCGGAGAGCAAACGAGGTGTCACGGGTATGTCTCTTAGTTTCTGTTAAGTATGTCTTCGGGATTAGACGGGCAGCACTGAAGCCACACAAAATGCTTGACCATGTATGTCCAAGTTGTTCCATAAATAAATGGTTTGCTTCAGAATTATGAAACAAAATGTTGGTTTTTCTGTGGTGATACTGATTCTTTATAAGGAGAGTACGTACTGTGATTCGCTTTTATCCTACTGAATTATAATTTATTTTTCAACTGTTATTTTTTCAAATTTAATCCTCTGTCTTGATTTTCGTTGAGCTACGGTCTGATTCTAGTTGTCCAATTGTGCAGTATCTTCACGCGTTAGTTGCCTTACCAGTTACATCGAACGGGGTCTATCTTTCAAGTCAGTGGTGCCTTCTTGGGAAAATTTTTGTTTCCTCCTTGGATGTTTATCCAGCCCCTCGCGAGAATGTTGAGTTACGACATGCAGTGATAGTCAAGACTTAAAAGCGCCTAAACTATTGCTATTTTAGAAAATTTTTTTGAACGCAATAAATTTTTGGTGCACATTTCACTTCACTGAACACGCTCGATAGATTTTTCGCTTTCGTGCTGATAATGGTTCAACGTTTGTGGGTTTAGAATGACTGAGTCTACTTTTTACGAGCACAATAGCGCAAGTTCGTATGGGCCTACAGTAAGTCAACTGACGCTACTGAGCTGCATTTTCGAGGCACGCATATCTCTCACGTTACGGGCAGCCACTCGTTGGTCGACTGGCTAACACTATCACGGGCTGAATGTCATCCCTCCATAGCAAGCTGGACAACTTTCACCTAAAAACTTATATTGTGCGTCGCATTTGCTTAAATGCGCCGAATAAACGAAGATTCTTCGAGTCTTGAGATGATTTCAAGGCCAGCACCGCATAAATCAAAATACCGCCAATCTTTCACCACCAAGGACGGCCAAGTAACTAAATGAATGAAACGATTAAACAACCTCCTCTCCGTTTTCAAAGATTTCTGCGGTATTCGCAGAGTCGAACGACTGAACTGAACAACGGAAACCACCTAAATGTCACATGAGGAAAGTTCGCACTCCCTGAAGACGCTGTTCAGCCGTAACTTCTGGAACTACCCACTTGTGAATATTAATGGCCAAATTCTGTTTGCCCTTCAAACATACGAGATGTGCAATTAAATCCTTTTCCAAATAACTGAAGGATAAATATATGCATTGATTTGTCATTGAGTTTGTTAATGAACGGTGCATCGCCTGCTTTACTATGGTACAAATTGATGGTTGAAACGATCTCGTTATCACTCTGAGTGCACTGATTAGCAAATTCTGTTAGGTTTCAGTCCGGTAACGCAAAACAACAATCCGAACAGTGCCTTTGCACTGAAGCCAAGCTTTTTCAAGATGCCAGTGAGCAAAACAGATGCAAACATATGCACATTACTGTGTTTCTACCGCACTAACCATTACGGCAACCGATAGTAAAAGGCCTACAAATATGATTCCTGACCAGAAAACCCACCGCATTGTTTTGGGCCGGGTTTCCACACGTTCAGACACGATGAGTGTGGTATTGCTGGTTAGTCCACAATAATTGGTAATTCTTCGGTTGCATTAAATCAGAAGCACGGAGGTCGGTGAAACGCTGCCATTTCGTTCTCAAACCGATCCAGGAATATAACGACACTACCACTATCATGTACGAGTGATAAAGTCCACTCACAGGTTGCCAGAAAATATGAAATTATTGATCGCTTAGATTGGTGAGGCATGATGGTAGGGCTATGCTGGAAATGACTGGCACCTAGATACGTAGAACTCAAGTTTGTGGTACAAGTCTGTTACTGGTGTAATGGTGACACTACTGACGGGTAGTATGTGCTGTTCGAAGAATTTCGCTTTACGTCTATTGAAGAAAGGAGATCTGTTGCGGAATTCGTGGAGCCACTTTGTAACACTTGCTTGGATTTAACCGACGAATGAGTGGAGTCAATGAATCTCCAGGAAAGTTCAAGAAGATTCGTTCGGGGAAGATCGGTGTCCAGTAGTTGTAACTAAGATGCAGATTAGAGTTTTGCTTCCCTGTTAAATGGTCTGTAACCGGTCAGTCGGCACTTCCGAATAAATAACTCCGCAGCGAAGGCCTTCTTCCTTCCACTGGTAGGTACTTGAGCCGCCGTTTGGACTTTTTGATTTTACATTCCTAGATTCAAACACGTAGCAGAATGCGTTAGGTGCGATGCTCGTTACCTGGGAAACGATTGCAAGACCCCGATCGACTACAGCACAAATTATGTCAAGGTCAGGTCTGAGAGATGGAGCTCGGCGAAGCATTTTTGATGGTCCGCTATAAGAAAGGTCAGATTCCTGAAAGTAACCACTGAATGCCCGAAATCTACTGAGACCCTGAGCTCCACTAGATGTTGATCACACAGACAACGCCCCCTCAATATGCAGCGCGTCACGGCGTCATATCAAAGCCAGACCACGTACGTAAGCATTGGACCAAGTTCAGACGGTGGCCCTCCAATAAATAGCTTGAGGCCGTTGTAATTTCGCGCTCGCACTCGCTTGTTCGGAATATAGCTGTTGTGTTCTCTTCTGTGAGTCTATTTTCGGCACTAGGCGCTGGAGCGGGTCAGCAGCAGACACAACAGACTGGCGAATCAGCAGACATACCATATACTATTGTCGCTTACCCGACTTCAGAGAATTTATGATCATGAAAGACAATTGTGGAGCTGAAACTCTGGGAAAGATGTTTCAGATGACAAATAGTTAGGACGCTCAGAAGCCTTAAATCAACCAAACAGCAGCACAAGTATTTCTTATTCTAAGCGATTCCGATGACAGAGCCTGACGACCTTTGTGCAACAAAGGCATACAGGATCGTCAACTATTTGAAGCACTTAGCGCCTTCCCAGACAGTTGGATACAACCCAAATTTCATCAGGTCAATGACCAATGGAAATTCGATCGAAGCCCTTGGAAGATCATTGCGTTATGACCGTAAAACAAGAACGCATGAAAGAATAGTCAGATCGTTTGTCTTGATCAGATGTTCCCAACGCATACACAGGAGAACAGTTTCCAAGAAAATACCAAGCATGATGACAAGTACAAGGACAGAAAATGACACCCTCGGGAATAAGAAAGTATTTAGGGAAACGGTCCTAGCTGTTGACAAGCAGTACATTATTCATGAAGGAGGGTGGGGGAGGGGAGCAACCAAAACTGAGAGAAAAAATAACCGAATATAGGTAGGCTTTCACTTACAACAGCAGTGTGTGGCAGCTAACTTCAGATGGAGGCAGATAGCAAACTTCGTATAAGCCATTAATAACAAAAAAGCGTGATGTGACGATTATGAGGAATCCGAAACACAAATGCAAATCTTTCTAGGGTATCACAATGAATGAGAACATTGGGCGCTCCAGTGCCCCGCACGAAGAGCACACCGAAGAGACATTCAGTGCATAACCATTCGTTGAGTAGGAGGTGACGCACAAGGGGGTTATGGATGGTTTTACACAGCTGTTTACTAGGGGAGCGTTTAAGCATGGAAGATTATCAACGGGTCAGAGATGCGAGGGAGACTGGCGATGGTTCTTGCCAGGAAAGATCTAAGGAATGAAATGAAGAATGGGCGAAGACGATGAACCGGTAGCTGGATTTTATCGCCGGCGGCACTTCCCGTGGACAATAGTCGTAGAATTCCGAACTGATTAACAGGACATCTATCACAGTCAGATGGATCGAACCAAGTTGAAAGAAATACAGAGCATTAGGATCTCCCGGAGAGAAGGTTTAACGCAGCCGCCTGTCCATTGGATTTGCTCCACAACGCCTCGTGAATCGTAATAGCATCGACCACAGGGCTCAGGTGATTAGTTGAAGTGATCTCTGTGAAGTGCTTACCGCCACTGTTGTACCTGGGGAAGTTTGGCATGATTTGTTAGACAGAAGTGATCAGAAGAATGACAAATTCAAGTAAAACTAGTTAGACTGCAGAAAACAAACAGAATCCATTCAACGCTAGTGTCACTGGTTAGAAAGACAACCCAGTTAGGCTCAACTGACTTAATACTTCGTTCTTTCGTGGTTTTAGAACCGCAATAAATATCAGTGGACGGAATATAAATGTTCCAAAACGCAAAAGAGGTGTGATTATTGCAAACACCTAACCAGTATTGAACTAAACAAAAATGAAGGAAGTATTCTTCGTTCCAAACGCCATAGTTGTTCTCCGGCCCCACTTTCAGAACTCCAAAGTTAAAGGAAAAACTTGCGTAACCCCAGATACTGTGAGTTGTGGTTTGCCGATGTTTTACACAGCTGTTTACTAGGGGAGCGTTTAAGCATGGAAGATTATCAACGGGTCAGAGATGCGAGGGAGACTGGCGATGGTTCTTGCCAGGAAAGATCTAAGGAATGAAATGAAGAATGGGCGAAGACGATGAACCGGTAGCTGGATTTTATCGCCGGCGGCACTTCCCGTGGACAATAGTCGTAGAATTCCGAACTGATTAACAGGACATCTATCACAGTCAGATGGATCGAACCAAGTTGAAAGAAATACAGAGCATTAGGATCTCCCGGAGAGAAGGTTTAACGCAGCCGCCTGTCCATTGGATTTGCTCCACAACGCCTCGTGAATCGTAATAGCATCGACCACAGGGCTCAGGTGATTAGTTGAAGTGATCTCTGTGAAGTGCTTACCGCCACTGTTGTACCTGGGGAAGTTTGGCATGATTTGTTAGACAGAAGTGATCAGAAGAATGACAAATTCAAGTAAAACTAGTTAGACTGCAGAAAACAAACAGAATCCATTCAACGCTAGTGTCACTGGTTAGAAAGACAACCCAGTTAGGCTCAACTGACTTAATACTTCGTTCTTTCGTGGTTTTAGAACCGCAATAAATATCAGTGGACGGAATATAAATGTTCCAAAACGCAAAAGAGGTGTGATTATTGCAAACACCTAACCAGTATTGAACTAAACAAAAATGAAGGAAGTATTCTTCGTTCCAAACGCCATAGTTGTTCTCCGGCCCCACTTTCAGAACTCCAAAGTTAAAGGAAAAACTTGCGTAACCCCAGATACTGTGAGTTGTGGTTTGCCGATCGGTAGTGTAACTCTGTATCGGTCCCTTGGCTTCCTGCTCCACCCACTATGGTATATTAAAAGGCACGGTAGCCCTACACAGGACAACTGTATTTATAGGGCAATCACAGAATGTCCCACAAGGTCGTGCTAGAGTCCCCGTGAGGGGGCGAGAAGCGTCGAGTCAATGATGATCAATCCGGATTGGCTGGCATTCCGGCCAATCAGGGCACGCCTTCGTTTGGTTCGTGTCCTGCACGTGACACACTCGTCCAAATGATGTGATGTTCGTTTATCAGGGACAGCTGGCCTCTGGACACTGAGAGAAGTCTCATTTCAAGAAATCGCTTATCCCATTGTTCCAACTCAACAGCTTGACCAAACGGACTCCCATACACACCATACTTCAAAATGTCGCGCCTCCCCTGAAAACGTCTATAAATTCAGCGAATTCGGGTTCATTGTCTTTTATTTATTTGGGGTGCCGGAAGAGCACATCATCCGAATCGGTGCTTTTGTCGTGCTTGTTAGCAGCTCATTCTTGTTTTGTGAATCTACCCATGCGTCCTGTAAATCGACCCATCGAGAATTTCCCGTCTTCACCGGTCGCATATCTCATATATAGGTTCTAAGCAATCTAAACTGTCTAAAAGGGCATCCAATGTGAATCTCACAAGCCGACTCATGTTCTTTAACATGATTTACTACTCACAGAATGTTCTAAACTGCCTGGACGAACTTGCGGGAAACCAGAGTCACGACTTCTGAAGTTGCCGACGGCAACAATATTTTGAACAATTGAATGCGCTCGACAGGAAAGAAAGAAACTGGCCAGGGTCACCAACTATGATTTACCTAAACAATGTAATTACCACAGTGAACCTCAACGGAACTACCGAAAACAATTTAGTCTAGCCTATGGACATTACGGGCTGCGTGCATTTGCCCGTATTTTTTGAGTGCACTGCCAGATCAACTTCCAGTCAGAGCGGTCTCTGCTTCTGACACCTCGCACATCACTAATAAATACAATAATCGTTCAGCTGTAACATCCTTTCGAGGCCTAGCTACCATGCTACCTGGACGAAGCACAAAGGCCGGGATATTACCAGGTTGCCCAAGCCTAGACAGGGGAAGTCGAGAGGCAGAGGTCGGGTTCGAACCACGGACTTTCCGGTCAGCTAATTCGCGCTCTAACCACTGAGCCATGTCGCAAATCACCACTCTGAACCGCTTGATTATCAGTCAGTATCAGACAGAGACCTTCGTTAGGTCGAAACAAAACGTTCACAGTACAGAGAAGATGCAATTATCATTGGCACACTGATCACCAGATCTTTCATGAGAATCGTGGAGAAAATCGGAGGCGCTCGTTTGGCAATTGCAGCCAGGACTGTATTACTAATGGCGCATGTATCAGGTGCTGTTAGGAGGGGAATTTTTGTATCTGAATTCTTTTGTACTACTCACCTGCTTATGCACAAGCACTTGGAGTTTCCACAAATTCGGTACAAGAGTGTAAAAAATGAAGACAAACTCAGAGACCCGCGGAAAGGGATGATCCGCAAAAATACAAGGGGTTCTCTTCAAAACACATTCAGAATTATCCTACAAAGAGATAAGCCATAACTATGTCAAGTAAAAGATGTTCGAAAGTGCGATGTAGCCAGTCGCTTGGCGTATACAACGAAATGTGGATCCGTCACATGAACAAGCTCAATTCTCGGACTTCATCGTATAGGTTTCTGAAGTCACCATATGGTGTTTTTTTACTCGTTCAATATAGGAGATCTTATCGCAGCTTTTTTGACAAAACCAAGGTAATTGGAATTAGCTGTCCGGTAAAAAACAGCTGCTCGATGCAACAAGTGCATTACATGTGAACTTCTGCGAAATCGATTGAAAAAAAATCACATGACCAGGACGGGCAGTATCATTCACTCACTTGAAAAACCGATTGGCCATTTCGTGGGTGATTCGCCGCGGACCTGTGCCACATATCAATCGTAGTTCTTCCAATTCAAGGTCAAAGGAGTACACAGCACGGTATTGACACCGTGAGTCACGGAATAGGATCATGAAATGGGTACCTTCAGTGGCAGCCAACTCCTGAAAGAAATGCCACGAAACAAAGGAAGGATAAGTCGTCCGAAGACTTTTTTTATCGTACATTCCAAACAACCGAAGTTCAGTCAAAAAGGACGCAATCACATTCCGTGATCTATGGCAGTTTTTTCTAGCTAAATAGTAGTAAGTCACGTCGGCACTTCCATCAGTCAACCGAAGCTCCTCAGTACTTGAAGTTAACATGTGGTGCACTGGTTATAGCATAGCAGAAAGGCAACGGAACTAATCATCAAACCGAATGTCCTCTAGCGGTTGTTCAGATAGTTGTTGATCTGTTCGCCGAGAATGACAGTTAGCTTGCAAACATTCCGTCCTCAGTCGAGGGGACAGTGTGCCAGTGACTCAATGGTTTGAACTACTTGGCTACAGGGAGCCGGCCTGGCCCGAGGACGCCGGGGGTAAGGTCGTACTGTTTCACTCCATATACAGCTACGCACAGCAGGTGCCCTTTGAACGCCGGACTCTTTTGTTTTAAAAGTACTTGAATAATGCGTCGGCGGTAGGGTAATCAGAGTTTGTGGGATTTTCGGGGCTGACCTTTTCTCACCCGTCCTCCCTCGGGGAAACGCCTTATTGCCTTTACACTCCTATCGAAAAGGACACAGTACGACTTTACCTCCTAACTGCCTCGTAAGACGGTTATTTGAAGAACGGGGATTCGCTGTTCTTCGTCGGGCTACTCCCCATTGGTGTATCTGGCATGGTTGAACCTTTAGTACAGTCCGCCGGATCATCGCAACACAGAAGCCCGATAAACCGCGACAGAGTAATAGCTTCAACTAGGGCGTGGTCCCTCTGGGGGAAAACACGCTTCATCAACCAACTTTGATTGCCATACATGGAAGCTAGTATGATAATACTATACATGTCCTTTACAATAATAATCCACCTATGTGCATGAAAATTATCACTTTAAGAAAGTCAAATGCAAATGTACAAAAGTAGCCCGATTTGCAAGTCAAGGAATACCAAAAAGTAGAATTTCTAGTGAACTGTACACAGTGCTTTGTTTTGAAAGAATAGGTGTGCACGCGATAATATAAAACCTAACATCCAGTTACTCTTTTTTTTCAGATAGGCGGGCCCTCTTTAGAGCGACCTTTGAGACAGGCGAGTCGTAACAGACAACTCTCAGTTGGTCCCTCTGACCTTATTCCGGTAGTAAAGCCCTTCGCAAAGGAGGACAACGCACGGAACGGGACGCTCTCGACCAATCCCTCGTCGTGGCCTCTTGGGTGAGGGAATGTGCGATTATGTTCTTTTAAAAAACACAACTTTAAACTAGCCTCCTCGGAGGACGAAATAGAAAGAAAGTCGTTTCCTCTGTAAAGACTGTCTGGAAGGATGACAAAAGTGGTTTCTTTGACACCGTGTCTGTTCTAGAGGTGAATTAGTCATTCGGTGTACTCATAAGAGTCCAGCAACAATCGGTTCAACCTGAAGGTCAACTGGAGACTACACGAGTATAGTGTAGTCTTGTGCTATGGAGATGAAAACATATCACAGGACCCCACATGCAGCCGAAGAAAATAGCATGTCAGAAATCTGTATGAAGTTTATCTGAATCACTCGCTCAAACCGTCCTGATGTGTACTTGAGTTTGAGCTCCTAGGAAGAGCGAATCCTTCAATGATTACTACTCTCTTTACGATGACATCAGGTGGGATGTTGTAGAGAAAGAGAAAACAGCAGATCACTCGTCCGACCCTTACGGTTATCAGCTTGGCACATTTTTTCAGACGTAAGAAGACGCTGATGGGATGAAATTTATAACCACTAACTTGCTCCTTTGCATCTGCGTTTAATAATAAATACTAACAATCGTTCACTTGTAACACCCATTCGTTGCTTGGTTGTATGCCACCCGAGTACGAGGCTGACATACTGTCAGGTTGTCCATGCCTAGACAGGGGATGTCGAGAGGCAGCGATCGGATTCGAACCACGGACCTCCCGATCAGTAAATCCGCACTATAACCACTGAGCCGTCTGTGTTTGGAGCAGCATCATAATTACGACTCTTAAATAAACTTGAATGATGAGAGTGGTTCGAGGTGAAGCACAAAGCAGAGACAAAACTCACTTGGATGTACTGCACAGTCAGGTCACGGATTACAACAGTCAGAGCCGCGTGTCGAATCGCGCTTCAGACTGGTCTGGTACCAACCACTTACTACAAACTGGGAAGCTTAGAGGAATCCTTTGCAGTGTTGTTATAACAAAACAGCCTAATGCTCATTACCATCAGCAAAGATCACACTCAGAAACGTCTGAATTAATTTGTTTATTTGGTTGCTGTTGTCCTGGCCACGTAGCACCAGCTTCTACACAGAAGCGTCTGTCTGTCTGTTTTAATAGTATGTGAGAGTCAACTAGGATGCGAACTATTTGAGGAATATTCATCATCCTCTGACAGGCTGCCGTCTGGCCGGCCACAGAATGGTCTGTGTCTCAAAGTACAACAACTAGCGCCGAGATGTGTCGCCAACCGGAAAAATCCGATCAGACTGAGCTGAGCGTGGGCGGTTGTACGAGGAAAAGCTAGAGTTAAGGTAACCACCGTCGACGAGTGAAAACGGTCATTGATGGTAAATGGCCTGGTGCACCAATGAAAAGTCACAGAATGGAAGAGAGTACGAGCCGAGTGGACACGGAATGCCCAAATTGTCCGCCGACCACACTTGGTCAACTAATCGTTGCAACTCATCTCCGTGTTTTTCTGCACATACTAGAATGGCGGCAAAAGTCGGCTTAGATTTACTGTTGTGAAATTTTTGTGAATAACTGCCACATTCTTCAGGCCACTATGGCTAAGATATTGGCATTCCTCTTCCAGGAGGAACTCACTCCTCAGCTGGGAACCACTGGCTTGATTTGCCCCTAACTGCCTAACTGCCATGCTATCCAAACGAAGCACGAGGGCTGGGATATTGTCAGGTTGTCCAAGCCTAGACAGAGGAAGTCGAAAGGCAGGGGTTGGGTTCGAACCAAGGACCTTCCGGTCAGTAAATTCGTGCTCTATCCACTTAAACCATCTCGCCATCTCCAACACGGGTTTGTGTGAAGCATGAAATAGGGACAATAAGTAGACAACCGTGATTTCTATCCTCGAATATTACTCTTTTCCTCATTACGGAGTCTGTGACGCTTCATGCGGATGATCAGCGGAAACATCCAACAAGAGTTGATCAGTAGAAACAACACAAGCATGTTCCGTCCGCTGTGAAAAACGATACTAATCACATGTTCATAAACTGTACCGATTCCCCAGAAGCACGTGGCGTTCGCATGATCTCACACGATTGCCAGTGGTAGAGGTCGTACTGTGCATTATAAGCTCATTCTATTGGGTGAACAACTGAGGGGTAAATATCCACGCCCGAGGGAACGGTATTTTGAGGGTCAAGGTGCTAAATTCAATTTTCAACCGAAAAAATGGAACACCTTAATTAAGTAAGAAGTACAATCAGTGTAAAAACAGGTCTTCGCAGTACTCTCCGGATATCCAAATATGTGTTACGTAAGCATCCATCGACGATAGCATCGGTGGGGTACGCTACTGTGGTTCTGCGAGAAAGAGGTAAACTAGCAGCTCTTCAGTTTGAAGACCCTTAAAGGATCGTGTTAATTCAGGTCACTTGGTTCCTCGTTCTAAAATATGGGCGGAAAGGCGTCACTATAGAGATGCGAAATTTCAAACGGAAAGAAACGATCTTTTGAACTGACCTTGAGCGTGGCCTGTTTCATCGGTTCGTTTACAGCGCCAGCCAAACAGGCATGCCCGATTGCATTCACAATAACCATTCGATTTGATTTGGCTTTGGGCTTGACAAATAGCTTTGGCTGAGTGGAACTCGGTACTTGCAGTCCGGGTCCACTGGATGGGGAATCAGTACAGCCTAAGCGATGGAGAGCTGGAAGAATCAAAACAGTAATTCCAGTGGGTTGATTGGGTTGATGAAGGGGAAGTTGTGAATATGGAAAGAGGAAAAAACGCCTGAGGATTATGAGGATTTTGTACCTCCAGGTTTGGCTTAGTAGGCCTAATTAGTCAGGTGGCATTGTCCAAATGACATTAGATCCTCAGGACGAACTTTGTAGGAGGCTTAGAAACATTTCACCATAACTTGAGAAATGGTCAGTGTCTGCTCGATCTGCGAACTAGCTGACAAGATCCGCAAACCGATCACAACAACCAGTGATCTGAACCTTTAAATTTGGGTGGACTGCCGACAAGACCGATTGAATGGCAAATTCCTGGAGCACGTATCTAGTTTTACGCAATGGAATTTGTTTCGTTTTTGCATGGGTTGAAAAAGAGTTCTGGATTGCACCAGGCCTCCAATCACTCTAGGTTAGGATGCACGTCAATGGTAATTTTACGTCAATATGAGCGAAGAGGGAATGAACTGGATAGGAAAGAAAAGGGTGTTATATGTGGAGCAATCAGCGCCCCGACCGAAAACGTCGTGCGCAGAAAAAGATGGACTAGTGAGTAGTAGGAAACCCGAAATTCCACCTAGAAAGAGTGCTTTCTTTGTTATGCTGGATATACGGGCGATCAAAGCTAGCAGTAATGCCATTTTGAAGAGGAAAATAGAATTCAGAAGTGTCAATAACTTTGCATTAATTGTGGAAAGTCAGTGCCAAATGTGCAATGTGCTCGAAGCTAGAAGCTTTGTTTGCATACGGGGGGGGGGGCAGATGCGCGGTTTATGCCCGAATACGATCGGAAACACCAAATCTGACGCCCAACGAACGGGTCCACAAAGATTACTTGATCTTGATCGTTACGATCATAACTGGATGACCACACGCGCGATTTCAGCCGGCGGCCATGGTGAGTCGGATATCGCGGCACACGACCGACAAAATGGAGGCTCAGAGTCGGATTCCTACACCGATCGGTGTAGGAATTCAAAGAATAGAAGTAGAAATAGGGAAGTGATTCGACAATAGTAATCGACGGGAACGGACATTCTGTGCCACAGATGTCACTCCTGTCCCATTCACTGAAACACATAGAATCTTCAGCGATCGACCTCAAAGTACTCAATTTAAGTTTCAATAAACCAGGGCGAGTTGTAGAGAGTTAGCTGAAAAGGAGCGGTGCAGATCCATTAGTGGATACCAGGTGCGTCAGTGGAGGGATGACTAAAAGTACGAAGTGAAGTAGACTTACACGAAAGACTCAATCCCGAAGGTAATCGTGAACCATTTGTACGGCCTTTTTTCTGTGTCTCATCAGATTCAATATCTCCATCGCTGGTCTCCACAGCCTCTCCGTCCGCATTGCCACGAAGGGCGGCAGAAGAGGAGTGTAGAGATGTTGAGGACTTGGTTAACGATTTACGTCGATCCGAAGGATTAGCAGGACGTGTGTTTCTGGAAGGTTGTCTGGGACCACGCTTGTTCGGGGCAACTGACTGGGAACCGGCCCGACGATCTCTGGGGGATGCAGCAATATTAGCCTCGGAGCGAGACAACGCGGCAGAACCGGGCCTGACAGGATAAAGTTCTGATGGTCGCGGACTGTTGGAATCCGTCTACAAAAAGATTTAAAAGTATAGTTTATTGATGCCAATCGGCTTGGTGTAAGCAAGGGCGACACACTCCCTCAACGCGGCATTCGGAAGAAAACGGTAGAAACACTCGGAAGCGGCGTGTTGTTCATCCAAAACAGTCCTTTCAGTGCAATCGACCGAAAACAGCGGTAGTTGGTGCGTTGTTTGGGGACTAGTGCGTATGCACAAACTTTAAAAAAGCGGTGCAGAATGATAAACGATTGTCAATAACTACCCAATTCATCTGGTTTCTGCCAGTTGGACGAAACACTGTCTGGAAGTGTGTAAATCACATTTCCTGGTCTAAGCAACGTCCTGTCAATAAGCTCATACAGCTCTCAAAAGAAGATAATTTTAGTAGAACAGTGTAGACTTCCAATAGGAAATCAGATCGAGTCAAGTAAACGGGAACCAGCCTAGGAGACTGGTATGCCCGTTGAATTCGTCCAGAACTTATGCTGGTGGTCACTGGCGCAGCACCGAAAGGCCTCGAGTTCACGGACGAGAAAGCATGTGAAATTTCACATGGAGAAGTGAGAACTAAGAAAATAACTGTGTCCAATGTAGTTGAGCAGATCCAGCGTTAGTCTGATCAAAATCCCCAGGTGACTTCTTTGCAGTTCGACTCTAATAACATTTAGCGCTAGGCAGGCCGATAAAAATAGACTAAGCCTGTAAACAGCAGCAGGCTTCCCCAAACACAACCAGCAGCTTTTACTGCCTGGTAGCGAGGTGGTCTTATAGTATCAGTGGCAGTGGAACGCCAAAAACTATCGCCCGGGAAATGCCACCAGTTGGACCCGAAAAAAGAGACCGGCATGACATTTACATCCACATATGTGAAAAAATTGTCATCCGAACAGTCCTTGCCTGTTCGAATGTGATAAATCAGGTGCTTCCGGAGTGCATGAGGAAAGTATTGGTAACAAGGTCGCCTGGCATGTCAAATGTTCAGGGTTCAAATCCAGACAGGGCCAAGAATACGCACCGCTAATGAGCTCAAAAAAGAGAGGAACTCGAGCCCCATATCCTCCAACCTTGGTACGGACTAACCAAGAATAAATGAACAGAGAGAGAAGAAGGACCGTGCGAACCACAGGCTTCATAGAATAAGGTCAATCGAACAAGAATCTAGAAACAACGAACGAATGTCACAATTGGTTGACGTGCTCAATCAACCAGATGGTTGATTGAATACGGAAAAATAGCCAGCGGCAAGTCAGATATGGCAAGCAGTTGAGCTTCACATCCACCATACTTTCATCAGAAGAAAGTTGCACAAAATATTCGGAATTCGCTAATTATATCGTTGTCGCTCGGTGTTCAGATGAGTGATAGGGATACAAGGTCTTGGCTGATTGAAACACGACTGAAATATAATTAAATGCAGGAAAAAAGCTGAGAAAGCAGTGGAGAAACATTTCACAGAAGAGTTACCGAAAGATATGGGAAGCGCCTATGACACATAATCCTGTCTGGATGAAAAAATGGTAAGGACCTGAGAAAGTCCCACAGAGTTGATTGAGAAATCTTTGGGATTAGTCGAGAAAAAATCGATAATGAGTGCACCCAGTGTTCAGCAAACTACTTCGAAATCAAAGACCACCTTAACAAGGAACTGTATTTGTTTTACTGAGTAGTGACTACATTCTAACCTGATACTATGGATGCGATGAACAAGGTTACGGACGAAGTTTCCATATTATCCCTCACCATGTGGAGTTTCCGGACCAACGGACGTAACTAGGGCATGATCAACCACCTTGTACTCAGCCAAAATAAAGATTCTATGGAGATTAGTGCGAAAAGAACAATTAGCAACGCGGATTTATTTATCTACTTATTTATGCAACCCTCCATAAGATTGACAGAGGTAGTGATGCTGGTGCTGATGCAGAGCAGTTACGTCCACTTGATGCCTCCTCAGAACGGAATGCTTCGTTCACGCAGGTTGGGCATTTGCCACCGACTCACACAAATGCGTAAACCAATGTCTGATGAGCGGTTAGAGTGTAGGGTATCGGAGAAGCGAAGTGGATTGAATTTCATGGGGTCACGATTAAGTGACACAAAGCTCATGTAAAAGACGATGGAAACACGAACGCTGGACAGTCTAATGGGAACCACGAAACATTTGGAAATCCTTGCGAAACTACAATGAATGAACCGTACTGCGGACAAAAATGCCGTAAAATCGCAAAAAAGTGGTCATTTCGCAACGTCAACTGCATTCGGAAGCTGTAGATCAAATGGAAATTGAAGCTAACCCATCAGTATATGCCGCACCTGGCACAGAACTACAACTACCAGTGAGTATGACAAACCAAAACTGAACCTGTTATGCTCTGTTGAAATTCGTGAACTGGGTACGGTGGGGCTTAACATAGTGCGGAGACCAGCCGTCCCTAATAACCGAACATCACATCATTTGCACGGATGTCACGTGCAGGATACGGACCAAACGAAGGCGTGCCTTGATTGGTCAGAATGCCAGCCAATCCGGATCAAGCACCTGTGACTCGACGCTTCTCACCCCCTCACGGAGATTTTAGCACGACCTTGTGGAACACTCTGTGATTGCCCTATTAATACAGCTGCAGTGATTTACCTTTGTCTCCATAATGGGCTGTATAGAGGAACCGTGCCTTTTGATATACCAAAGCGGGCGGAGCAGGAAGCCAAGGGACCGACTCAGAGTCGCACTACCGTCCAGCAAGATACAACACATAGTCCTATATTATTGTGAGCGCATCTTCTGTAAACAGTCATGTGATTTCCCCTTGTCAGACTGGAGATCTTGGCAACCGAGTGGCGAAAGCGAAGTAGGGGTTTGGCGTCAACGAATACCCCACAGTTCCCGATTCTTACGAGCAAACAAGTGTAGTACAAACATACTAAACAAGGTTGCTGCGCAAAATCTGAGGTGAGTAGCGACCGATCTACAAACTTATCAAACGAGCTTTACAGTCATATTATCCGAATGTGGAGACAACTAGGATAAAATATGTCCGGATTCGGCTATTAGAATGGTCTATTGGAAGAGGGGGATAACAGCTGCAGACCTAACGATGTAAGATGCTGTAAGTAACTGCAAGTGTAATATTCACCACACAGATTTCGCAACCCAAGAAGCAGTTAACAACAATATGGTATCAATGACCGCGCATCAACAGCCGTTGTGACGACTGAGTAGGGACCTGAGAAAAGGTCTGTTTGTATCGAGTTATGATGGATGATTAAGTGATAGGCTTGTTTGGGCGTAGATACCAATTGCATCAGTATTCCTGTTAATTACTGGCGAAGCACGTGGTATCTGAAAGTCCGACTTGTCTGCTACATCGTCCCTGTGCATCGTAAGCAGCACCACATGCGAAGTGCATGGGTAACCCGGTGTAAAACCGAACGCCTCCGGTGTTGGTGGGCAGCGGGAGGTAATTTAAAAGTCACCGGTACACCCAACTGATTTCCCATATTCGATAAACAAACCGTTGAAGACCACATCATCCAACCAGAGTGCCTGGTGGCCGGCACCACTCACCCCACTCAGAACACTGCTGGTCTACAATCATTTTGGTCTGTATACCGACGCTCACAAAAATTCGTTTCTGCCAATGGCGTAAGCTCCAAGTTTCAGAACGGCTAGTGTTAGGATGACATGTTGAGCGGTGGGGTGGTTGGGATGGAATACATATTGCACAGTAAAACACAACAACCGAAGTCAATTTTTCACAATAAGATGAAGGCAAAGTAAAATGGTTTAACGATCAGATACTAGCAGTAATAATAAAGAAATAGAGAATAAATATAAATGAAAGCACAGCTATCGAAACACGCGCTTAGTGTAACGAATAACGTGAGACTCCTGTAGGTTTCGCTTAAGGCAGCGATACTTCTCGTGACGACAGCGACCGACATAGTTCAGCAAAAATGTAAAAATGAATAAAGTCCATGATAATCGACATATTCTTATATAAGTGTGGAAAGACAGTGAATTTGGGACGGATAACCGACCCCCACCCACATGTTCACAGGCTAGCCCTGGGGATACAGGCTGCCCTTGAGGAGAAAGAACACATTCGCTCTGACCATATCGTAGAAAATTTGATGCAATATGATGACTGCTCCACAATCATTAGGGATACAAGGAATTTCGAAAACTGGCTGTGCACGGTGCATAAAAGTTAGAGCAAAACGCATCACAGGAAAAAAAGTGAAAACAACAGCTCGACTGGACGAACGCGTGATTGACTTGGAATGGTCTTCATAACGCCACGGAATGGTAACACGCTGGTTACTGCTACGGTGTAAACTGAGCGATTTTTTGAAAAAAAACAGGGGCAAGTGTGGTGCAAGGTAAAACATACTTTAAGATACTCACCGAAAAAAACGTTCTCACCCTCCATCGCTGGAGCATAAAAACACTCATATGATTGTGAATGCATAACGGCTTTGAAGTTTTTGTAGTGTACTACTCAAGGTTGCTGAAAATCCGTCGACGGCCCACGACCGGTTTCGCCTTTTTTGTGGCTCATCAGGTAGGCGCAGTCCCCGGGTTTCCGTCAACCTTATGTTCTACTTGAAACCGAATTGCACGAAATTAGCGAATATACACTCATTTTCAAACTAATTTGTTTTTTTTTCGAGAGAATCACCTGGAACCCAGCTGAATCTCTCGGTTATGATGTTCTCAGGCTTTAAAAGTTGTATGACTGAATGCATCCTCATGGTAACTAATAAAGAATGACAGCAACGAAGGGATAGATTACTTCATCAATAATGGCGATTGGATCGGTCGCCTGTATTCAGTGAATCACGCAGTAGCTTACACAGCGCAAGAACGTCACACACTTAACGCCAAGTTCATTCTTTCTCCCGGTCGTTAAAAAAACTAAACGATTCGCCTTCAACTAACAAATGAAAGGGTTTTCAGTCGAGAGTTCGCTCTGCCAATGAACTCAATTCATGTCAAGAAGCCGAGAATTACTGCATTGTTTTATTGTCGGCAGTGCGCATCTGAAGAATCGCCAAGGTGATTCGAACCCATGACCCCCGACTAGGTTAGGAATGGTTGATTAGCAGTGCGATTAACTCGCACAGGCTATAGAACCACTTATCCCACAAATACGTGACGCACATCATATGGTTCCTCGATGGAAGACTTCCCAGAATGAAGGTTTCGCTCAGGAACTTGAAATTTGTTGGCACTATGAGGAGACTGGGACATTTTCAAACAAGAGTTCGTCCTGTAAGTAAAATCAGCAACCCATGGCGAAAAGTTGAGAAGGAAGAAAGGATGATCTAAGGCTTTGAGAAGCCAGTTACAGCATTCCAATCTATTCATACTCAGCTATATGTCCCTCAGGTTTATGCTAGGCTACGGCGGCATATTTTGATGGTTCCATACACGACAGAGCGCAAACAGGCTTTGCTATTAGATGTCCCGGTGGTCCGTTGTAACAGATAAATTTATAGCCCCCTCATGTTGACACGTCTTGGGTTTTTCTTTCTCGAGAGAAAACGGTTGACTAGAAATTCCAAGATGACCCAGCGTCAAGCTGGTGTCTTAACAAAAACCCGAAACTTTTCGCGCTCCTAAAGCCGCATAAACTTCACACTGAGTCATTTTGTAAACGTCGAAGAGTCTTAGGAAGGAAAACAGGTGAAAGAGAATGAAAGGGAATCCCACACTCCTGAGTGTTGGCGCACACATGCAAGACACGCTGTGAGTATTTTACGATAGTCATACCCGCTTTTTCCCACGTGGCTGTGACGTCATCCGGCCTTCAATACTCCCCTCATAAACATAATATTCAACGACAAGAAGCTGGTCGTATATGTGGGGGCGTTGAGACGTCCACGTAGCGATTATGCACCAGTGAGGTCGGATCTTAATGATGAGGTTAGAGGTAACTGCACATACCGCACCGCGAAATGTTCAAAGTTAGAATAGCAATACAGTTTATGTTCGCGAATGATAAGGGTACACACCACATTATGAATAAAGCCCAGTCATGAAGCATCCTGACAGGGTTCTTCGTTAGTGCCACAAAACAAAGAGTTTATGAAATCCCCCGCTTGGTTTTTTCGCAACAGTGACTTTAGGGAATGAAGATTTGACCTTTCAATTCCTGTTTACCGTCCATTCAACAGGTGGATACAGGGGTTATTTTCAATCTCAATCCAGAGTGCCTAAACGCAAGCGGACTGAAGGCTAAACTTCGCCATCTTTTTTGCCTCTGGTGGGGGGTCGCAAGGTTCCCTTATATAATCACCTCTGTTCACTTTCATCATGAACTTCTAGAAGGTTGTGACGAGCTACAAAGTTAGGGAACATCTTACTTAGAGTATGCAGGTGCTGTTGAGTGGCAAGTCTATCTAAGTTAGGGCAAAGTAGATGATCTCCTGGTACTTGAAGTAGCCTGTTTTACGCCTCATATGTGTGAAGCGCTCCTCCAGAACTGGCGACAACCTACGTTACTATTCACTCTGAAACTTAGTCTCAATAGCTTTATCAGTCCATGGAGGTTTCACCACTGGCGGTGATATTGGAGGGATAACTATGGATTTTGAAGGTGATTTTGGCTTTTATCAGCTTGAAGTACTTACGGCACCAGCATAATACCCAACGTCTTCTGAAAGGTACGGTTTATGACATGACGGCCTGAGGATCACGTAAACTTTAGCCCACATGAATGGGACCCAAGCGAGCACCTTAACGGAAACCAACGCCGGAAGAAACTGAATGAAACTTGATCACCGAATATAGCTAAAACTCACATCTCGTTTCTCCTTGTAAGCCTGCAAAATTGCCTCTCGTTTTTCTCGTTCGTTCGCCTTCCGCTCCTGTTGTGCTTGCTCTATGGCCAATTTTACCTCACGTTCCTGACTGCGACGAGTCTGCAGCTGCTGTGCGACCAAGGCCTTCTCAGCAGCTCGACGAGCCTCCAATTGGTCGCATTTACGTTGCATGCGCTGAAGCAGAGTGGAAATGGAGGACCCACTGAGTAGTATGTCTTGACACAAACATAAGATTTTATGGATAAGTGGGTGATAAACTTGAGAACCAACAGGAGAGACATATACGTTACATTCTCTGTAGCTTAATATCAACCGGTGTCCATTTAGTTCAATAAGTTTAGCCATTGATTGACTGTATGTCTACGACCCAAGGGAAAAAAACCTATGGAGTGTGTAGTCAGTCCAGCACATCGGCAATCGTCAGCATCAGCAGGGTGCATGATCAACCAGAAGGCAATCTAGAATCACAACAAAATATGAGGTATCCAACACCCGCAAAAAAACAAGACGCAAATGGAATGAGACCAAAATATACCTGCGGATCCGGCTCATCAAATGCAATGAAGAACAACGTATTTTCCGGCCCTTTGGGAGCCGGTTCTTCTTTGGACGATTGAACGGTATGGGGAGTTGGAGCTCTGTCGGTTTCTGGTTTCGGTTCGACGGAGGAAGTGGAGGACATATCAACGGAAAAGGCGCAAGAGGCCGAGGACTTGGGTGGAGCTGAAGGCTGGGTAAAAGAGGGGAAGTTTTCCGAAAAAAATTAAAGGTGCTACGAGGTACCGATTGGTCGGAAAAGATTTAACGATTGAATAGCAAAACCGTTTACCGATGAACAATTTAAGCACCGAATAAGAATCATTCAGCTGTAACACCCTTTCGAAGCCTAGCTGCCATGCCACCCGAAGGAAGCATGAGGGCTCCAATACTGCCAGATTGCCCAAGCCTAGACAGGGGAAGTCGAGAGGCGGAGGTTGGGTTCGAGCTACGGACCTTCCGGTCAGTAAATTCGCGCTCTAACCACTTGAGTCATCTCGCCCCCATACCACTACGAAAGACCCCAGGGGTCAGCGGCTGCCTATGAAGGTAGAAGAACTGTATGTGATGAAGCTCGTAACATCATAGCTTCGGGGTCGTCAGAAGAAGGCCGCAATGATATCTCACTTCTTAACGTGAAGACAAGGGAACCGGTGAAGAGGCGAAGCGAGGGAGCCAAAATTTCAAAGTCCGCTATGGCATGTCTGTCTGGTCCAAAATTGTATTTTTCGACTGATGGTCTTGGAAGACTATCCAGAGGGGCTCAGTGGTCATTTGGTGCAGTTCCACATAAATTTTAAATTTGGAATGCCTGCAATACGAGATAACAACGATCGGTTCTTCACATGAGACAAAGTTCTGTACAGAATTCACCCCTACATTAACTTTGAAAGGCCATCCTGTGAATCTGAATGGGTCGGTTTCACGTCTTGGATGGCAGGTGCTCTCGAGTGGCCATCAAATCTACACAACAAGAGATGCAGCGCTGTTTCTGTATCTAGCGCATGAACAGAAGAAGACCCCTAACTTCTACGATGCCTATATACCACTCTGCAGTCCCATTTCTGATACTATACAACGCGACGTTGTACAATGGCGAACAGATGGGTGGCTGTGCACATGTGTCCAAAAAGCTATGCATAAATGACGGAAAAGGGTGTATAGAATTTCACACGCGAGAGAATCACCTGTGGGACTTGTGATTCCGATGCTTGACTATTCGATATGAAAGATGTATCTTCATGTTCAACAGCCGACGTGTGGATCGGGAGTCTCGGACCAACGTGTTCTAGGTTGGAGTCAAGTAGACGCCCTTTACTGAGGTCACGCAGCTTCGGACGTTCACTCCAGGTGGCTCGTGTTGTACCAGCCAAAGAGGTGTGTGAACTTGTGAGCTGGGCCGAAGCTTGCTGACCTTCGAGACGTGCGCCCTCAGTAGCTGGAGGTGTGTTTGGACCAGCAGCGAGAAGACGTTCAAGGCCGGTCTGTAAACCTATCAAATTTCGATTAAGTTGTTCCAGTGCGATCGCATTAGCATCGTGCCTGTTAGCCTGCCTATGACGTCGACCTGATGAGGAAAAATCCACTGGAGACGTGCGCCGTCGGTGAAGGGATGTCCGGAGATGACTTTGTGCGTAGGTTGGATAAACGCTGGAATGTATTAGAAAAAAACGGGAGGCTACAGTTTTTTTTCCATGAAACGACGAAAACTGTCAAGGCAAAACAAGATTTCCTATGGAATCTGGGAAAAAGATTCACCATGATGATCGATAAACTGGGATTACACCAGTGACTTGGAACAAAAGAGACCAAGATCACTTCCAATTAAAGAAGGAGGTATTGTTACATGAAGCGACAAGAAGGAAGACCTTTATCCAATGTCAATGATGGAGGCTGGCATTCTCTGGTAGCATTCCAGGTGTGAGACTATCACAGTTTGCAAGTCGCGGTGGAAGCAGTATTCTGCTAAGGTTGCTCACGATCGCTCCAAAGGAAGTCATGCTGAAATTGCATGGCGAGCGGAAACGATGCAGAAAAGACATAGAAGGAAGACAGTAGGATGGATGGAGGTTGTGAGTTCACCTCAGGAAGGTAGCTGAGAAAACGTTGAGCACACGGAGTTGAGTCCACGGGCGACAGTTACTGTCGCGATATATTTCATCACTGCAAACCGAGGACAATAACCGAACTGATGAGCTCAGAAGCCGATCATGGAGATTAGGCGCATCGTCACTCAAAGTGTCAACAAACACTACACACTAGTGTTCTGGAGGACGGCGAACTCTAAAGTAGGGGAGCCAACTAAATATGTAAGCACAGATCTGAGAACTGGTAATATTGTGGCGTGACCTCGATAGTTTCGTTCACTACGTAACAAAAGCAAGTAGAACATAAGATTGACGGAAACTCGGGGACTGCGCCTACCTGATCAGCCCCAAGAAGGGCGAAACCGGTCGTGGGCTGTCGAAGAGATTTCAGCAACCTTGTGAGTAGTTCCCCTTATGAAAAGCAAGGATACTTTGATTTGGTCTTCATGAAGACCAAGGCTAAAAATTCAATTCGTGAGAAGTGAAAGTCTCCGTGTAAGGAAACACAAAACAATGAGGGGATTTTATGGACTTATAGTGCTCCGCGACGAGTTCGACAAGGCGGTATCTTGAACTGCACTTAATGTGCACAATTATATGCAAAGGCGAAGCAACTTAAATACAGCCAACTATTGAAATAACAAACTACGAGACGTGGATCTGTGAGTTATCACAAGAAAGTTCACAGCGCCGAATTTCAACGAGAGAGTTCACTGCAGCACTGACCAATGGAGAGACCGATCTAACGGGTCACATGGACTTCGACCAATCGGAATACTAGCTAAACGAAAAAAAACCGCCCAATCAAACAACTCGGTCTCAGCCAGCAGCATGCACACAAACAAACATCACTTAGCTCAAAACCACTGATGCATCACCAGGCTCGGCTTCACGGTACAATAACCATGCGGTTCCGAATGGTGATGAAACGTTTGCAACCAAACCACCTAGCTAAACAGACCAGCAGAGAATGAGTTGTTACCTGAGCTACCAGTATTCACCCAAATGGTGAATCGATGCTTCAGGTGACAAGTATAGGGATTTTCGTCAAGGGTTCTGTCTGGAACATAAGACGCGAAGTGACTATTAGTTTTCAAGCAAGCCGAGGAAAAGTTGGTTCAGTTCGGCTAATGATGAATGGAAGACTGACCGCTTACAGGCAAGTAAAGGTTTCAGAGACAGTGAACATGAATGACACAGTGACTGTCACAACTGCGCCTTACCGTAAACACTCGTTACTGCGTGGGTGACATTGGTCGACTTCGTTCCGGCAAATGGGTGACGCCCAGTTAGCCAACTAGTTATGCCCAACACAATCGAGACAGAATACACTACCACTCATTATAGGGTAGACGGAAAATGTCCGAATGTGAACACCGAAGGCAAGACGGTAATTAATACAAGGATGTGGGCATTACGCCATAACGTTCGCAATCAGAAGGCGAAGTTGGAGTGGAGTGACCCGCCGAAGAGAGCGATGTTTTGTCTGTCCGATTCGGAGTGACAGGAGCGTAGCGGTGACTAACCCTTGACTTGGCAGAAAGGTATCAAGAAGATCACGAGATATTTGGGTGCTGTCGGTGCTACTCGTCTTTCAGGAAGGGGACCACGTGATCCCTACTGCGCCTGGTTGTAGACGCTGCACGATACGGTTGCCAATCGATATCAGTGGTTGTCAATTTCTATAAAGATTGCCTGAACAAGTGTCTGGATTTCTAGGCACCTCGGAATGATTGTAGTAGGCTAGCACTAACTCCCTTCCCTGTCTACCTTTATTCTTTTCTTCACAATAAAGATTTCAAATAAATGATGGTTGTGCGGCAACGAAGCATTAGTGTTGAAGACTGATGTCATGCTGTGGACGACGATGATGATGATAATGATGATGGGGAGGAGGATAATGCTCTGTCTCAAACGTAATATGACTCTGTAACTTGAAATATTTTCAGGCTGATAACAAGGATGACGAGAATTAGCTATACTGTTCGCAATACCATCCTGAGAATTCACGCGGAAGTAGGATTATACAGTCAATTTACACCCAAAGTGGATTAATCGTGTTAGTGTTGGTACATTATTTCATATTCCTAGTCCCTGTGTTTTGACCACCCTGGATCGACACATCCTCGAAAATTGTGAAAGCGAATCGATCATTCTTCGAGAAATAAACTCATTTGCAAATCAATTTGGTTTTCACGAGAGACTCAACTGAATCTCTCGTTTTTATCATATTCTACAACTGAATCTGCTGCACACAAGTTGGCACGATATTCGAGATATCGCAGTATATTTTCATAAAGGAAACTACTCACTAGGTTGGTGGTTGACGGGAACTCGGGGACTGCGTCTGCCTGATGAGACCCAAGAAGGGCGAAACTGGTCGTGCGCTGTCGAAAAGTTTTCACCAACCTTGTGAGTAGTTTCCTTTATGAAAATAGATCGATCATTCCCTTAGACAGCCAGTGTCTTTTGTAACGTTGACATGGTGTGGCCTGTATCAACGATTAGGGAAAAAGAAGGCATTCTATAGAGGAAAATGTTGGTAGCTCAGGTAGCGTAGATGGTGGTTGGTTTGTTCGCTGAGCTGGGCAATTAGATTGCAAACGTTTCATCACCAATCGAGGTGACATCATCAGTGCGTTATTGGGGAGCGTAGTGGTGGGTTAGCGGTTGTGGCAAGTAACGAACACCAATCATAAGCAAACATTCTGCTGATGAGGTGTAGAGCTGTTCGTTGCTCGCGCGCTACCCGAACATAAATTGGTTGGTCTACTGGTGTTGAGCACACGAAAAGCCCATATTTTATGCTGAAATGTCTCAACAGCGCGAACCCAACTGTGGTACACACAATATTTGCGTGCTTAATCATTGGAGGAAGATGTTTGATCACGCTCCTCGAGGCCCGATAATGTGACCGTTTATATCAGTATCCACACAAGCAAGAATGAGGCAGCTATTTATACACCTAAAAATATCTACCGTATCAAGTGAAGATTCAGACAGAATGGGAGTCAGTGTGTCAGCGACTGAGTTCAATACGAACGCTTCACAAACCCGAGAAAATGAGTTAAATTCAAAAACAGGGATAGCAGTAACCAGACTATCCAGCGCGCGCAAAGCAACGGACATCGTATGGATGATTTAGGTGTTTAATGGGAGACCTCCCGGTAGCAAAATGATACCACCGTCAAAGTTGAAATATCAGATACGTCCTTGGAAGAGACAAAATGGCTGCCAAACGCAATATCCCTAAAGTCTGGGCCAAAGAAGTTGCAAACAGAGTGTACAGTTGATCCACTTGAAATACTTATACAAGGTTCTTATATTCTAATCAGGCATAGGCCTGAAAGAAGATCGGGGCTCGTCAGTGCCAACGGGGAAAAAGTAAACGAGGATGAAATCGCATGAAGGTAGTAGTTGGAAGGAGGAGGGGGAGGAGAAACTAAAATGACAAGAAATGTTTCTGAGAAACAAGCCTGTTCGAAAAATTCGATGGAAAGTCCAAGGTTAGAAATGAAGTTGTGCACAGCCAGATGTTTTGACACAAAAGTGAATGAACAGAAATATTCCGACTTCAGTGCTCCAATCGGGGAATTTTGTGATTGGCAGCATTAGCCAGTGCGATTAAACCGCCCATGACTTCGAGGCCTGGTACCTATTATAGTTGGATTAGGTCCCTGGTGTCAATCTCATTTGACTTACACCCAAGCTCGGTTGAAGTACTGGTCACATACAGCATGGAATTACGTGCATAGACGGGAAGCAACAAGTTCGTATAAGCTGAGTAACACATTGTTGGGATAGATCATATCATGGCACTCGAGTCGGTAAATCAAATCAGACGCTAAAAATCTTTAATCCAGCCACGCCCACTTTCCTAATCAATTCGTTCAGCTGTAGCATCTTTTCGGCGCCTGCCACGCCACCGAAGGTTGCGTTGCACGAAGGCTGGGATACTGTCAGGTTGCCAGAGCCTAGACAGGAAGTCGAGAGGCAGAGGTCGGGTTCAAACCACGGACCTTCCGGTCAGTAAATTCGCACTCTAACCACTTGACCCATCTCGCCTAATCAATTCAAGAAGGCTCAAAGTGATAGTTGATGATAAGTTGAAAGTCCATAGAATGTGCCCAAGTGGCTGGCATGCGATTTGTTATGCAAAACTGATGAGGCTATCACAACCGGGATACGGCAGGCAATCGACAATACTCGTGGTTGAGAAAAATACGGGATATTGGGAAGAAGAAAAGTTGGGATGATGTGAATTAGACATAAAAGTACATGATTTGACAATGTGCTAAGCAAGTCCAACGGACTGTAAGACAGGTTTTTGGTTTATGGATGGTTAAACTGAGTGGCAGGCATTCCACACATCATTAGTTATGCTGGTAATGGCTGAGTGGCTGACAAACGCGTAGATTCCACCCGATGGGAAGAGCATGAAGCTCAGAAAGTACAACTGTCCACGCTTCGTTTTCAAATAACCGGTGATGCTTTAGAAAAAGAATCATACAGGCTATATTCTGTGAGTACGGCCAGTCCCTTTTACTGAATGTAGACTCATCTATAGCGGTATTAGTTACTGAATCGCTCATTTAGCAGAATATGATTCAACCAGTGATACAGTTGAATCGAGCTACATTCGCCCCAAATGTTTGGTTGCTGATCTGTTAACCGAGGTTGGCAGTTGAATTGCAAATGTTTCATCATCAATCTAGGCGAGATCATTCGTGCACTGACAACAAACAAGCAGCGCACCCGAGCTAACTATATTCGCCAGTTCCACATGTTTCAGTGACAAAGTGATGCTAACCACAATGAGGTTAGAATCCATTCGATTTAGTAGCGGGTTCTCTCCTGCGGTAACCAGACAGTTTTCGCCAACGGAAAATGGTGAAATAGTGAGAAGTTACTTTTCGCAAACTATTTTTACACAAGTTCCGGAAGTGCGGTACGCTCCTCTGAAGTGTGTCGGATCTTCATCGAGGCGCACCGTGAACCCACCTGTTTTTTTCGATTGTTTACACTTATTTTCCGGGACTGTCCTCATTACCTGACTAGAGGACAGTCCCGGAAAATAAGTGTAAACAATCGAAAAAAGGGCGAGATGGCCGAAGTGGTTAGAGCGCGAATTTACTGACCGGAGGGTCCGTGGTTCGAATCCGACCTCCGCCTCTCGACTTCTCTGTATAGGCTTGGGCAACCCGGCAGTATCCCAGCCCTCGTACCTCCTAGGCGTGGCATGGAAGTTAGGCGCCAAAAGGGTGCTACAGCTGAACGATTTTAACGATTTTTTACCTGACTATATGGTTCCGTTTCAATGGAAGTAACCAGTGTTGAATTCTACATACGTCGAAAGGTCCGATATATCACCTTCAGCACGTCGACAGGGCAGCGAAGAAGCTAAGCGAAGATCATTCGCTGAATATTTTTTGGTAATTCGGCACGAATAACCCGAAACCTCTGTGGAAGAACCCACTGTATTAGCTTATGCTGTTGCCAGATATTTGAATAAAGACAGACACAATCAACTGAAGGTGTACGATAACGCTGCCAGACACAGATTGATACGTGGTGACTGATAGCTTATCCGTTTGTTCCTAGCATGTCGTATGTCCATACTCGCCGAAACTATGCCACATGCCGTCAGGACGTCCACGTGTACACCGATTACCGTCCACATAGTGGGGGATAATGCGTCATAACAGTGAATATTTTGCAAGCGTCTATGACACATTCCCCAGCTGCGGTAATATTTTCACGGTGGCTTCGGGTCGGAAAAAGTGCAGGAAGAGAAAGGCATATCGAACAAGGAACAACATTCCTACTGCATTCAAACTGATGCCGGAAATTAGACCAGGAGTTGATCAGCTGATTGTACGCTGATTCCACCTTGCTAGTGACTGCCTTAGTTTTACTAGCGCGCGATTCGTGCACGCAAAAGTTGCAGTTTCAGTTCGGTGTGTAGGCATGCCTCTGTGATCGTAAACATTGACGTAAGCGGTACGTGAAATCTACGAATTTAGGTGACCGAAACGTGAGCGTGCAACTTGGGTTTTTTTTGCAAAAGCCTGCAGACGGTGGAAAGCCAGGGCACGAATGCGGGTATATACTATGGTAGATGACGGTCCCAAGGCTGAATGATTTATGAAACTGTACATGTGGAGCCAAATAACACATATTAAAGCGTAGACGTGAAGAGAACGATTAGGGTGGCATTCGGATAAACCAATAAAACCTAAGAAATCAAACAGAGGAAGACTCACTGATGATCTGTCGGTCAGTGTTGACACCGGAAGATTGATTGCCAGAGCAACCATTGTTCTCTTTAAATGAAAGTGGTGTCAGGTGCGTCTCATTGAGACAGACTATTTACTTGTGACATGAGACGGTGTAGGAAAGAATGATTCAAAACGCAGAGATGAATTTCCGTCGACGCAGATAAATGTAATGAGATCGAGTATCAACATGCACTATGGACCACTTCAGAATGCACATCTGCTTGCACAACTTTCTGAATAAGGACCCCAAATGGCTCAGCACCACAACTAGAGTTTGGGAAGGACTGTATTTAGCAGCGCTCATCAGCACCATGGATAAGACTGATAAATTGAAACAAGCTGTATTGCAAGTGTTACTGTAAACAGTACATGCGAACTCACCGAGATATGGGCATAGACCGTTCCGAATACTGGTCTGACTCCCAGCGTCCTCGAGAGTAGTTGGACCGTACTTCCACTTCCGCATCACTTTCTGACGCAGAGGCATCTTCATCTTCCTCGTCGCCGTAGTCGTACAGCTCCTCATAAGGTGCATACTCATCCGCTTCCGGCTCCCAGATATGACCACCATGGTGTGAGTCATACGTTGTACTGGTGGCCAAATGATGGTGACGTGAAGGTCGAATCAAATCTGCGCATTCTAAACGTCCCGCTCGGCGTATCATCTCAGAAGTGAGACTTTGAGACGTCACGTTGTTCCGGTGCGGCCCAGAACGTGCAGAGTGCCGTAGACGGGTTGGTGACTGTGAGGTTTTGTGTGAACGTCTGACATGAGGACGACAGGAAGGCTGTTGAACATTCACAGGATAAAGATGAGAGTATTCGTCTGAAGGGGCAGGACGGGGACTACGATGTTTGACCCTACGAATAGGAGGATCGCGAGTCGAGTAATCTCCAACTGCGCGATCCATTCCCGCATGCGGTGTAGACTGGCGTGGTCGCCGCACATTATTGACCAATTGGCGAGGGGCAGCAGAATGGAACCATGCTTCTGACCTGTTCGCCAGGTCAGACGTCACAGACGGTACTGTGAAGTCCGCGGCTTCACCACCGGAGTGACTGGAATCAGATGGAATATGACCCGGCAAACTACGTTGGTCGGCGATAGACTCGTCAGGGTATATCTGCGATAGTTCTGTGCAATCTATCGGTTCAGGTGAGGATGCTGTCTTAGGCGAAACGTCAGCTGGACATACGCGTTTCTCGCCTGTCTGATCGTCAAGCGGAGGCTGATCACCAGCTGATTCAGATTGCTGATCGAAGCTCTGAAAGGAAAAAACGGAGTTATGCCAACATTTCGTTAGGGATCATAGCCGTATGGGTGACAAGTAAAGAAACTATTGAAAATACGTATGTGAGCAACACTCGGGCAAAGGTCGCCCAAGCTCGTTCGAGTGTTTGTCTGCTATAAACTATGCAACGAAGACAACAAATGTTTTAAGGGGTTAAGAAAACCCCGGGCAAGTCCTGGCGCATTGTGCAAACGGAAAGAGGCATAGACCGAACTGCGCACATGTTGAACGCGAATTGCACACAGATTTTCAGAAGTAACCTTAGTTGTCTGAACGCTGTGTTTAGTTATACTGATATGTTGAGACCGATACACCACTGGTCCATAGCTAGTCGGTCGAGATATCCTTCACTTGAAGATATGCTCTGGAAGTGATAAAAGTGAGGCAAAAATAATGGTCAACCAGCTTTCCTGTCCCAGAGGGTATAAGGAGCACAGTCTGATGAAAATCATCATAATCATAACCGTATAGTTTCATACTACTGAAAACAGGCAGAGAATTATTGCAGCTAGACCATTTCTGAGACGGTAACGGTGATACTACTGATGGGTGAGACATGTGAGTAGTATGTTTTCTCGTAAATCCGCTTTGCGTCTCTTGAAAAGTGAGATCTATTGCGGAATTTGTGGAGTAGCTTTGTAGCATTTGTTTGGATTTGAGCAACAGTCAATGAACATCCAGGAAAGTTCAGGAAGACGCGTTCAAAGAGAATATGGATATTCATGTATATGGGAGTTCCCTGTCCAATAGTCTGTAACTGTTCACTCGGTATTTTTTAACAAATAGTTCCGCAGCAAAGGCCTTCTTCCTTTCAGTAGTAACGAGTCCGAACCATTCATTAGGCGAGCACCCTAAACATGGTCGCTTGCAACTGCTCTCAAGCATAGAAGTAAAGAAGACAGGTAGTCTGGGAAGACTATTTATGTGACTGGGTTCCAGTTGAGTTTCCTGCAAAACGAAACTGGTTTGCAAATAAGTGTACTTCGTTCATAATCGTGTGATTGTTCTGGCTATCTATGTCATATTCCCCCAAAAGCCTTGACTCATTGTTAATGGGGCTGTCGGAGTTCGAACTAGGGAGACCGAGCACACACAAGACGGTTTTTCAAGAACAAACACTGTGTGAACGTCTCAACTCACAACCTCTTTCGGTGCGATGTCATGCTAGTTTAACTCGAAAGGAAACGCAGGGATCCACATATTAAACTGGCAGGCGAAACATGGGGATGACGAGTAGATAGCCTTTTCTAAGTTATGTTTCTAGTTGAAGTGTCACTGTTGCCCCACAGGTCAAACTTACTGGTTTCTGAGCCTCACACGACTGGACTGAAAACTCATCCTCAATATCAGTTCCTTGCTCCAGGTTGGAAGGTGTAGTCTCACCGGTACCATTGTTGAGATCGAAAGCTACGGCCGCCTCAGACGTTGGATTTACTGTTGGAGAACTAGGGGCTATCAAATTTTGGCACTGCGAATTGGGTTCAACAGAGGTGGCCTCATTTCGAGCGACTTCCGGCGCGTCTGGTTTCTTCCCACGGCGTCGCTGAAAAGAGAATGGGAAGGCGGGACGAACATCGGGCTTCAAGTGCAATAAAGGAGGTAACATCATTTTAAAACAGCTGGTCTATTCTCAAGTATTTACTTGCTCATTCTGAAGGAGCCTCTGAAAGGCAGCATGGTGTCGTTCAGCGGCAGCCTTGTTAGTGGCAATCAGAGCACGCTGACGTCCCATTTCAATTGTACGACGCCTTTGGTCTAGGGACAAGCGCAGCGCAGCTGCCGAAGAGCGTGACACAGGCTTTTCTCCATGATCTGAAATGCCACTAGTTGAGGAAATATCGTTTTCCACACTGTTAGTTGGGGCATTCGATTTCCGACAAGAAGTTTTCGTGCTGCCAACAGCCGTAACTGCCCACGTTGTGGTTCCTGGGGGAGGCCTGAGGTAAATGAAAATGTTTGTGCTGGTCAAATCAGACATAGCCGATAAAAATAAATACGAGTTATATGAACGTAGGGGTGGATTTTCGAGATCCAGAACAAGCACTTGTGAAAAGAACAAAGAATCCTGTAATAAACGTGAAGGTCATTGAGGGTGTTCCTGAGATTTCGCAGTGTAAGTGCAGCTACAAGATATGTTGAAGAGCCATTAAGTTGTGTGATTTCAGAGGAAGCTCACGAAACAACGGCCAATAATCTTGAAACTGTTCTCAAAAATGTTTGTAAACGAAGAGCAGAATAGACATTTTAATATAAAAAGTGCAAAGCTCTGTCTTCAAATTTTGCCTCGCTTATCTGGAATTTCATGTGGGCCTTTTTCATTCCGTTACGGCGCATCAGACCAGGACTTAGCCACCAAAAGGACGGAAATTCACTGTCAGTGTAGACGGAACAGGGTAGTTTAGAAGAACCACAATCGGTTGGTTGGTGTTAACTGGAGATTCAACCGAATTCAGGCTGAATCTCTCGTTTGAGATACACAAAGGCTATTTGATGATTCAGCTGAGTGACTAGACAGACTAATTAGCAAATGAGCGTATTTCGCCACCAGCGTAAAACGGAATGTTCAAGTAGGAAACCAAGTCGTGGAAATTCGGGGATTAAGCCTAGCTGATGGGTCTAAACAAGGGTGAAACCAGAAACGAACTATCCAAGCGTCCCAGTAAGTAGCGACAAGAAGCCTCATGGGAACTAAGGAGGGCAATTAGATCTACTTGTACACTAAGGCAGGTGAAGTGAGCTGATCAAATGGTCCTTAAAGCTTTTAATGTAGTGACACAGAAGAGGCCAGGTGCTCTCCGGAAAAAGCTTAAAGCACTTCACAAACCAAACAAAAATGAACGCCACTACTGACCACATCATACAAAAACAGTACGTCGATAAAAATAGTAGTTATACACTAGAAGCACATCTGTCAAATGAAGGGAACTACTGCCTGTAACATGGAATTTATCCTCTTTAGTTTCATCCCCCAAAGATGAACCGTATATCGCTGTACAGCCAGTGCAGTTGGTGTATCAACTCAGGTGCAACATGATAAAAAGAGGGAACAGCACAGCTCAGCGAAGAAAATTTCTCCATAAAAACTTTACTTAAAAAGGAAGCATGCAAATGAATGTTAAATAAATGAAACCGAGATGCTCTACTCCAAAACGAAAGTGTATGCAACGGTTTTTTGAGACATGTAAAGCGATACAGGAACGAAGTAGACCTGTAACCGAAAGTATCGATCACAATAGCGACACTATTGGTCGATAGACAGCATACTTTGATGGACGAATGAACAACCTGACGCGTGTAAAGCTGACGAAACAGACGGGGGAAGATCTGTGATCGATTGTACAGAGACTCAGCAGTGGGAAAGATAATGACGGTAACCGTGAGATTGAAAAAGTCCAAAAATCAGAATTTTTGTTCAGATGAAAACAAACAAAGCTACAACTGTAACTGACGCGTATTACCAGAACCTCCAACTAGCTAAAACAGAATTGGAGTTGGGTTTTTACACAAAGCTAGACGGAAGATACGCGTCAGAAACAAGCGATGCACTTGGAACACAAAGTGAAAACAAGGCGGGCGAAGCAGGTTCACACATGTGAGGCAGTTCGGGTGCACAGAGGTGGCCATCAGTGACATAGTGGACTCAAGTCCAAGTAAAAGAGCGAACACAGATTGTGTAAACACCAAAAGGAGTTGGTAATTACAAACAGGAGGAAGAGCCGTGAGGAAAAAATGATGATACAACTAACATATCTGAAAGTTCAGTCACAGTGATCTTAGTGCAGATTTATCACGAGGAGAAGAGCACGTGGTTGCAACTAGTCATCCTTTACTCCCAAACAAAAACGATTTCAGAAACTGCTTGAGACGTTTGCCAACTGAAGATAAGAGGGCGCACTGGTAAGTACACAAAAGCACTAGATGGTACGTTTGGATTGAAAGATCACTGGCTGAATGTACTCCAACAGGCATTCTGAGAAGTACTTTCCAAATTATCAGGTTTTTAATCAGGGAACAGAGTAGTAGGGCAGCAAACAAAGTGAACAGACGAAGGCAAAAAAAAATTTGACCGACGGAAGCCTGATGTGCGGTCGTATATATAAAACAGAAATGAAATAATGTCTCTCATATGGGAAGAAAGTAAAATTTCACAAGGGAGAGTCAGTTAGCTGATAATTCCACATACAGCTCAAGAGTTGTCTTGTTTGTTGATGAGATGAAAACTGTGAGACTATAGATCGGGCATAGTTTCCAGGAATAGTAATCAAAACCAACGTCAAAGGACCAATGATAGAAACTAGCCATGCTCGTGACTGTAATGAAGTAAGCAGATATTCAAAGTGATGGCTTAACATTGGCACAATGTGGTCCATTCCACTTTGCCGAGTAGAGACCTACACATCATCATCATCATCATCATCATCATCATCATCATCATCATCATCATCATCATCATCATCATCATCATCATCATCATCATCATCATCATCATCATCATCATCATCATCATCATCATCATCATCATCATCATCATCATCATCATCATCATCATCATCATCATCATCATCATCATCATCATCATCATCATCATCATCATCATCATCATCATCATCATCATCATCATCATCATCATCATCATCATCATCATCATCATCATCATCATCATCATCATCATCATCATCATCATCATCATCATCATCATCATCATCATCATCATCATCATCATCATCATCATCATCATCATCATCATCATCATCATCATCATCATCATCATCATCATCATCATCATCATCATCATCATCATCATCATCATCATCATCATCATCATCAGTGGAAGCACATCGGTGATGATGCTCCGCTGACGTACACCCATTATTTAGTTGGAAGTCTTGTTGGGGAAAAAAGAATAGGAAAGCGTCCTAGCGTTAACCTAGCACAACACTTCCGAGATGGGAACACCTCTAGAAGCTCATTCAAACAACCTGCATAGATCGTGGTGTGCGGAGGGTGTGTAGTTTTCGGTTCAGACTTTGTCCTGTCAGTGAGGTCAATCTATGCTGAAAGGCCTAGAAGCTCGGCGCCTTTTCGGCATAGACGAGAAAAATCTGCGCAGAAACTGACAACATGGGCACCATTGACATCGATTGGCAATCACACCATGGGGCGTCTCCAACCATGCACAAAAGGAATCATGTGGAAGAAGGGTCGCACCGAAAGTACCCACATCCTTTGTGACTGCTTTCGAACATCTTTGCAGGTCAAATGTGGACTGCCTCTTTGATTAAACCAGTCTGATTTGGACAAGGAAAACAGCGCGCTTTTAGTGAACGATGGTTCGACATGATTCGCAATACACGAACCATCGCAGCTCCTATTGTTGGGTGTATTCTTCAACTGAAGTCCGCGTTGCACAACCGAGCACTCGTCTTCGGATTGTATCGTTGCGGATTCCTTGGCACCGCTTATACGAGACAACGGTTGGCGGAGACCTGAATGTCTCGGTTTCATTGAGTAAAGGGGCCACGTCTTAAAACCATATAACAAAACAACCCGTATCGACGAACACAAATGACAGAGAATATCAACCACATGTGATGATGGAGATTAAACCTCAGTAAAACCGTTTGCAAACGGCTTACATCTATTCTCCCAAAGAATTTCACCTTAGAAATTCACAGGCCATAACCGGCTTGCATCCGATTACTCTCATGAGGAAGTCATCCGTACATGTTCAATCATCGGACCTACACTCGCACAAGAAACTCACCCACCAGTGTTCCAGCATCGGAACGCAAGCGACAAATCACTGTACAGAGTAAAGATTCCGGAAGGCCAGGTAGCATAGCAACGCGTCCGTAGTAATCTATACTTCACGTACGCACACAAATTCTCTCGCTCGTTAGAGGATTCAAACACCTGAGTTGTCTATTCTAGTCGCCAGGGTAATGAACCATGGGGGGAAAGGAAGTCTCTGTTTATGACACTCAATTTTATCAGACTTTTCAAACGTTTGCTGAATGCAACATTGAACAATCCGTCTGGAGAACCAAGGNCTCTAAGTAGGGAAAGACCGGAAACAAAAAAGAAACAGAACCAATGCACTTCCCAAGCACGCAGTTGCTTACCAGAAAGTGAGTCTTTGACCGAGGAATGAAAGGCCAGTTTGGTGGAGGAGCGCAGTACCGCTGATTTCTTCGGCGCCATCGTTCCTTTAAACCACTCCCATATCCAAGTATTTCCTCCACAGGTGTAGCATTAACGCACATCAATCACAAGGACCAGCGAGTCTATTGAGAGGTTCGTCTGTTTTACTTTGGTAACTGGGTATGGTGCGTCATTCCCAAGTAAGTCACAGCTGCTGCTAACGGTGGGTTGAAGACGGTAACTGTGACATTCGTCAGACCCCACCTGGTTTACCAACTATTTACAGGAAATCCATAGACTAGGTGTTACCCAAGAAGTCTCCAGGACAATTGTTAACGTTTTAAGCAAAACCCTACGTCTGGTTATTACACACTATACATAGAGTTACTGAAAACTCTTCCACAGTCAGTGACCGTTTTCGTCCTTCTTGAGATTCACCAGGTAGACGCAGTCTTTGGGTTTCGTCAAACCTAAGCTGGACGGAATTCGCGGCGAGATGGCCCAAGTGGTTAGAGCGCGAATTTACTGACCGAAAGGTCCGTGGTTCGAACCCGACCTCTGCCACTCGACTTCCCCTGTCTAGGCTTGGGCAACCTGGCAGTATCCCAGCCCTCGTGCTTCCTTCGGGTAGTATGACAGCTAGGCAGCGGAAGGGTGTTACAGCTGAGAGGTGGGCAGAATTCATCAACGAGAGATTCAGTGAGATTTAGTTGGGTCACTGGGCAAAACCAAATTAGTATGCAAATGAAAGTATTTGACAAGTCCTCATCAAGCTGAGAGGAATGGATCTCTTGAGGAGATAACATGGACTGCGCGGGGTGACAATGGGCGATTAAGATCGGTGATTGAGAAGCGCACCGTAACCTCATGGAGCACAGCATCTGTCGAAATGACAGCGCACTCGGACCTGCGGATTTGTGAACGCAGGCGCACTCATGTACAGCACCGTGATTGGTGGGAGTAACATTGTAGAGGATCTCAATATCACAATGGCTGGGGCTGACCTACCGGTACGGTGTGCGAAAGTGCGTAACCTTATTGCCTAACAAGGAGACTGCAGAGTAACCTACAAAAGGGTCACGCGAATCGTCGAACAAACAAACCCTCTAATCGGCTGACGGGAATGTGACAGAAATCAGTAAGGTACTCGGTTCATGGTATGCAGATGAACTAGTTGACAGGTTGTCATCCAACACATATTTCCAAAAGATATTCGGCATACCGGCAGCTGAAGAAACTTAAGCAGAAGAAAACTACGATAAGCCGGAAAGAGCACACCCGTTTTTTCCTCTCGTTCACGGTACCAGAAACTAGTTTGTTCATTTACTTGATAGTGTTTCCATGATCGAAAACACCGCCTGCAAGACATGTGTTTAGTAGAGCAGTAAAACAACGCCCTCTCAACAACTCCCGCCTCATTGCGTAAAAACCTTCAGGTGCCAAGCAAAACGCCCGACGTCAGATCGGACTAACAGGAAGGGAAAGTAATAAAGACGCAATTTACCGGACACGATCACTTATTCTCATTGAAGCCGAGAATACAAGAGTGTGATATATAATAAGTTCTGAATGAGTGATATTCCAGGGGAGTGAGAATCCGGTATCCGAGGGGTTTCCAAACATAAATCTGAATAGGACCTGACAAAAACAGAATCAGAGACATTGCGCCCCCTTTATCCATATCACGAGAAGTGACACAAGAAGTATGCCGCGTTATGTTAGTCGTTCTTTTTTCTCCTCAGTCATGCAAGTGAAGCATGCCAGTGATACAAATAAAGAATAGCAACACACTGATTGGTTGATTTCTGCAAGTCACCTGATTGCCAGATCAATGCCAAAGTAACCAAATCGTTTGACATTTTCGCTCTTACTGAAATTGACCATTTCCAGTTCCTCTTTGACACCCACTCACTCTAGCCTTCGTGCTACGTCTGCACGTGAATCAAACCACAGTATACACTTCTTGGATTTACTTATTTGTAGACGTGCCGACGTGTCCTTGCAACACCCTATCCACCGCCAGAAAGTAAATGAAATGATCTGGTTTTCACGAGAGACTCAACTGAGTGTATTTCCCGAAAACATTCCAATTTGGGTTCAAGTAGAACATAAGGTTGACGGAAACTCGGAGACCGCGCCTACCTGATGAGCCCCAAGCGGAAGGGCGAAACCGGTCGTGGGCTGTCGAAGAGTTTTCAGCAACCTTGTGAGTGGTTTCCTTTATAAATGAAATGATCGTTTGGTGTATAGCTGCCATGACACCGGGAGGGAGAATGAGGGCTGAGATACTGCCAGGGTGCTCAAACCCACGAACCAACATTCCAGATGGCAAGGTTGGTTTCGAACCATAGAAATCAGTATTTACAGTTCGTTAGCTACATCTCAGCAGCTGATAAGCGCAGGTTGATAAAACTTTATTCCAATGAGCGAAGAGAATCTGTAGCCCGGATAAATTAGAGCAAGAGGAAGAATTCCTGAAGGAGGCTTGAGTCCAGAGGGCTGAGTCACAGCAGAGACGGTACACGAATAAGCCCAGTTCATTCAGCGGGCAAGGAAGATATATAATTGTTCCTTCGGATCGTACACGACGACATTAACGCCGGCAACCACATTTCCGTCTTAAAATGCGCTGCATTCAAGATACCAACCACCTGAGGATTCGCGCTGCATAAACGTGAGCCTAGGTTGTCTTAACTATCAACCTGTTGTGTTGTCTACAAGCCGTCTTGCAGCTGCGGAGAGACAGCAGCAGGACAGATAGACCCGCAGCTGAGTATGCGCCAGAACACATTCTAACGTATATGTGGTCCAGATGCTTCCAAAGGTCAAATCGCAATCCCACATCGTCAATAGCCAGATATCTGCTAGAGAGGAGCGTGTTCGAGCTCAGGTAGCATAGCGAGTTGTTGGTTCGTTTGCTGAACTAGGCATTTTGATTGCCAACGTTTCATCGCCAATCGAGGTGACATCATCAGTGCCTTGTTAGTGAGTTAGCAATGGGTCGGTAGTTGTGCGCTGAGCATTGTTGCGTGTATGTCAATCGTTCAGATGTAACACCCTTTCGGTGCCTAACTGCCATGCCACACGAATGAGGCACGAGGGCTGGAGTACTGTCAGATCGCTCCAACCTAAACAGGGGAAGTCCAGAGGTAGAGGTCGGATTCGAACCACGGGTCTTCCAGTCAGTAAATTTGCGCTCTAAGCACTTGGTCAATAAACCACTTGTCAATAAATATCGTGGATCCGCAACACAGATAACAATTTCGTAATCATAGAACGAGATTCAATACATAATGCGCACGAACTGCTCAATACCATGAAAATGGCAATCAAACTGGAGAAAAACAACCAACTACAATCCTTGGATGTTGTGATGAACAAAAATGTGGATGGGACTTTGGATGGGATACATATGGATCAAATACTGCACTACAAAAGCACTGAAACCATCCGATAAACCAAAACAAACAAACTCTGTTCAATAGGGCAAGGGTATATTGGAGCGCCAAGAGGCTAAGGAAGAAAACCATTCGAAAACAGTTGATATCCAGTAAATTTAACGGAGAGAAACTTGAAGGCATTTCAACAACAGTGACAGCAAAAATAAGCAACCAGACAGATAGTTCTATCTTACAAGAAGAAGATAGCTGAACTGACAGCTAGATTATTAGCTCAAAAAGGAATCCTTGAATCTCACAAGCCGAATATCACTGTACGGCAGCAGACCTCAAAACCGAAGGATAACCAAGACGCAAGCAAGAAGAACAATGTGATA